CGAGGCAAAGTCCTCGAAGGAAAAGAAACTGGAGCTGCATATCAAACCAAAAAGAGCAGCATTAGAGCAAATGCGAATTTACATTAACTTGAAGGGAACTGGAATTGCTTTTAGTCGTTTACCTGGAGCATCTGGCACTGAGACAGGAGGCTTACTAACTGGTTCCTTTTCCTTAGGAGCAGTCAGTGGTTTTAATGGTGCATGTACCTGAACGAGCGGAGGTGGTGGAAACACCAATGGAGTACTTGGTGCCAAGGATGGTAAATGTTCTTCAATAGGGAATGGTGGCGGAGCTGTATTTTGGGTTTGCACGGATTGAGGAGATGGTGGCAACACCAATGGAGTACTTGGTGCCAAGGATGGTAAATGTTCTTCAATAGGGAATGGTAGCGGAGCTGTATTTTGGTTTCGCGCGGATGGAGGAGGTGGTGGCAACACCACTGGAATGCTTGGAGCCAAGGATGGTAAATGTTCTTCAATAGGGAATGGTGACGGGGCTATATTTCGAGTTCGCGTGGATGGAGGAGATGGTGGCAACACTACCGGAATACTTGGAGCCAAGGATGGTAAATGTTCTTCAATAGGGACCAACAACGGAGCTGTATTTTGCGGCATTGGTTCCACTGAATTAATTGGCGAAGAGGAATGTGCATCCCCTTCGGTCGTTTCAGGCACTGGGACTGGCATTAGTGGTGGCAAAGCAGGAGGAGAATGTAAATCCGATTCTGGATTGTCAAGAAAGGAACTTCAATAAAAAGCCTCGAGAACAAGAAACGTTTGGTATCGCGAAATGAAAGCTACCGTTTGGCTGAGGTGGCGTGCTTGTTGCAAAGCTTCTTTGTTTAACAGCACCAGGGATTCCTTCTGTAGGCGGAAAACTCGAAAACTCTGCTGGAGATGAGGATGCATTGTGCCCTAAAACAAGCAAAAAAAGACGAATATATTCGGCATATATTCAACCAAATTGCATTTCAACATGCAACAATTGGTTTTTACTTATTACATAATCATGACTGAGGATTGTAATCATGAGATCAAATTGCATTTCATCCTCAATCTATAAAACCGATCATGTCGAAAGAACACTTGATTCCACATAACATGGCACGATGATCTTTGTTGCTAATTATGCTATAAAAAAACATTTCTTAGATAAAGCTTCAAGTTCAGTGGATTATGCAGATCCATGAAGATGTTGAATCCAAATTCAGTGGATCTAGAACTCTGGAACTGAGATTTTGCAGACAAAATTCAGCAAAGAAGTAGACAAGATAACAGTCATAGTAAACAACAATATTTCCAAAACATTAAATGTGATTAAAAGATTGTTCACTTGCACAAATTAGAACACAAAACTCATTAAACCAAGTACAATTCAATAGCTTTGAGCAAGAACTGGAAGAAAAAAAAGATGGAATTTTTACCTGAAGATCCACGAACAACCAAAGCAAAGCCAATGATGCAGAGTTTGGCAAGCTGAAGAATCAGTGGCATCAACATCCCCATCCCATACAGCACCAAATCTCACAAATTATCTAAATCAACCTCTCTCAGTGATGATGTTAAAGAAATTTAAAAAAACAACAAATAAAAAATATGGAGCTGTATTATATTAAGAGATGGACGGGTAACTTGAAGCAAGAACAAACGGAAGATAGATTAACAAATAACCCCCACACAAATAGTGCAAAACAAGCAAAGATTGGTCTTTTTTAAGTTGTATTTGAGAAAACCCAGATTTGGGTTTGGTGAAAAAAGAAGCAAACTAGCAAAGCAATATCCTTTTTTTATCTCTCAAATTCACAAAGTTTCTGTCTTTATGCTACCATAAGTTGCTGGAACACAAAATAAAACTGACACACACACACAGATAAAATTAAAAACAAGCAATTGAATGAAAACAAGAAACAAAGACACCTCACAGGGCCACAGAGACAAGTAACTGACAACCTTTTCTTTAAGAGAGATGCAAATTATATATATATATATATGTAATATAAAGAAAAGATTTGGATAGTTTGGTGGATGTTAAGCATGTGAGAGAGAATAAAACAAGGAAAAGAGAAACTTGGTTTTAATATTAGTAAATGGTAGCTTAGTAAATGGTATTTTTAATGGGGGGTTTGAACCAACTTTAATTACCTTGTTGGGATTGAATTTTTTCTTAAACTATTGTTTAATGAAACTCATTTTCTTGCTGATTTTTCTCCACCTGATGTTTGTTATCCAGTAAGAGAAAATGACTCCCATTGAAAGTGAGAGACTTTTGTGACACATCAACCAAATCTTTCTTCTTTCTTTCTTTCTTTCTTTCTTTCTTTCTTTCTTTCTTTCTTTCTTTCTTGATGATCTTTGGGGTAAAGCTAAGGTCCCACCATGAAAAAACAAGTTCAAAAGCATTCAGATTATTGGGGTTTCATTGCCATATTCCATCTTTAGACTGTTGAAAACTTCATAAATTCATACAAAAAAACAACTAAAAAACTGGGTTTTTTTATGTTTTTTCTGGGTTTTTTTAAGCTTTCAAACAAATTCAAAGGCTACCATTCTGTTAGATGAGACAATGGACCCACTAAAAAGATAATGTGATTGACAAGAAGGGGCCTACCAAGCTAGTAATGGGGTCTCTTGTCCCACCACCAAACCACCGTAGCCATGGCCATGGGGTGGAGGGTTTTGCTTGGAACATAGCTAAGGACTTGCAATTTTCATAGCAAAAAGCAATAATGACCATCGCCGAGTATTTTGATAAAATAAAAAGCAAAGAAACTATGGTGCATGTGACTACATAGTGGACCCAACATGCTTGATTCTGCATTCAATTTTAGTTGAATAATTTATTTAACCTAATTATTAGCGATTAATCCGGACTATTACTATTGAGGTTTGTTTTGAGGATGACTTTCTCAATCGATTTTGTTTATTAAAAATATCATGATTCGAGTTTTTTTAATTAATCACTAGTTTCTTATCTATTGATCGATTAATTCAGATATGGTACCGCAGAGACGAGGGCAATCCTTCTAACCCAGTTTGCTCCGTTTACAAACGTAGAGTTCGTTGATTCAAGTCTTTAATCTTTCATTTTTTGACAAATTCTAAATAGGGTATACTACGCATTTAATACCTAAACTATCAATTTTAGTCTGTTTCAGTACCTAAACTTCCAACTTTTTCAAAACTATACATGACGTTTAGTTGTAGTTTCATTTTAGTACCCTTATCGTTAAAAACTTACAACATTTAGTACTTAAACTATCAGTTTTGTCCGTTTTAGTACCTAAACTTTTGAAAAAATCGAAACTTAACGTTAAATTTTAAACGAATACACTAAAAAAAGCTAAACTTTAGGTATAATTTTGAAGAAAAAAATTGAAAGTTTAAGTGCTAAACGGATAAAAATTGATAATTTAAGTACTAAACGCATAATTTACCATTCTAAATATAATCATAATCCAAGAGAGGTGAAGGAGACTTTATGAAAAGGAATTAGAGTACTCCTGATGGGTCTAAAACTCATTACTTAAGAAAACACGAGAGAATAAATATGTGCAAATTAACCAACGGACCAAATATACTTACTCATTCGAACCTTTAATCTTTTCTAAAAAATTTAGTGTCTTATCTCATTGAACCAACTTGTCGTTGGTCATAAGTCTTCATTTTTTATGAGCACTTAAAAAAAGCTTTTAAATTTCTATAAGAAGTCATTTGAAAGTTGAATAATATGATAAAATATATTGAAAGTTATTAAATTATATTTAAACTATCATTTTAGTTATTAATTTGTTATAATTTATGTTAAATTAAAGAAACTATATAAATTTTATATGATAAAAGGATTAAAATTATGATTAAATTGATATTTTGCCTTTTAGAAGAAGTGGAAATTTCTTTGATCTAATAGTTTTCTTGCATAACAATCCTTCCAAATTTTGTTCCCTAACATCCCTACTTTTGTCTGAAGATGCATCCTTTTCATTTTTTGCACCAACACCAAATGCCATAGGGTTGAGAGGCAGGGACCATTAGAAAAGTATAATGGTCATTGGTGGGATTAGATTGAGGTTCTTTACCCACCCGGATTCGATTCAAGTATAACAATTTTTCATCTGTCACTTGATTTGATTCGAGTTTAGAGGAGCTCTGCTAACTAAAAATTTAAATTGATTTTTAGGGTAAAAAATTATATTCGGTCCGACCTGACATAATATATATCTTATTTTTTATTAGGTAAGCAAGGACCTGATTAAAATATACATAAAGACGGATATTACAAAAATTATCCATAAATATATAACGGTAAGTTATATTATTATTTCCGAACTGAGTATTTTTTGCCTTAAACTTGAACCAAACCTCAAACGATCACATCTTTAAAACAACACAATCTGAAATCGTTTAAAAAAACTTGACTAAATAAGCTCGAGTCAAATTCGGGTCAAATGTACATCCCTAACGATAAATAGAAATCTAACATACACATTATAGATTCGTATTAAAAACAACTTTCTTAACTTAATTTTTTCATTCGCAATATAGAATTCAAACCATAAACTTTTTAAAGGACATTCATCTTATTAGACCAACCGATAATATATAAATTCTTTTTAGCAATGTGATTCGTTTATTTGTGCATATATTCTATTGCTTTACTTTACCTATGTTCAAGCCTGAAAAAGAGCAGCCTTTTGAATGATATTCCACCAAATGTGTTTTGGAATTTGAACCCCTTTTACCTAATATAACCAACGAGCAACCTTTCATGACCATATATGTATAACTAATCTTATAATTATTTGAGACCCCATTAGCCATTAATGTCACATTGCCAAAAGTTGGTGTACAAGTAAAATAAAGTCAAAGTGTACAGTACTCGAAACGTAAGGTAAATTACAGACTCTTGTTCAAGGTATAAAAATAGTATCGTCACTCGTTTGGTTCATTTGTTATATAATGGTGGGCATTTTACCTATGTTCATTTGTTAAAGGTAAATTACATGTCGGATTTTATGGCGAGCTGGTTTACGCCGACGTCTCTTTTCCTCCTCCTCAACTTCGTCATCGGCACCGTCTTCCTTCTCTCCCTCCTTACTCCTCCCAAAACGCCGCCTCACTACGGCGGCAGATACCACTCAGCTCCTTCCACTCTCCATCGAGCTCCGTCGCTACTCGACCGCGTTAAATCTAACAACTTCTCAGCCTTCAAATTCGAGGACGTCCATCAACAACATGTGGATAATAACTTAGAGCGAGCCCCGTCGATTCTCGAACGAGTCAAGTCCATTAACTTGAACCTCTACGAATATCCTCCTCAAAACCCAGACCCGGTCTACGCCGAACAACCACCCCTCAACCGGCCGCCGTCGTTCTTAGAGAGTGTTAAGTCCGTCGTTTTCAAATTCATTCAAATATATAATTATTTTTTAACCATAATTTAACCTAAACTTTATTTTTTACAAACATATAATGGTATAACTTGACCTAACAAATATATTAACATAGAATGTGAATACATATAATTTGGGATGAAATTGAAATGTTGAAAATGTTTCAAGACCAATTTAGAATGAAGGATATATTTTGGAGATGAAACTAAAATGTTCAAAATTTTGAGGACTAATTTAGAATGATAGTCATAGTTAAATGATGAAATTAGAACATTTAGAAGTTTAGGGACTAATTTAAAATGAGAATCGTAGTTTGAGGATATATAGTGCAGTTAACTCAAAAAAATCAAAATTATATATGTTTTAAATGATAATAAATATAATTATAGTAACACTCTCCAAGCCATTTGCCGTGTCGAATCAAATACAAGAAAAAGAAGGGAAAAAGACGATAGATTCGCCACACTCTCCCACCAAACATCAAAGGGTACACCAGTGAACAAATTCATAACGTTTCAATACCATTTCCAGGAAACAAACATGACAAGAACCAGAACATGCAACACTTTTTGCCTTAATCTTTCTTGTTACCAAAAGGATGGCATACATTTTCCAGCCCCGCTCCAAGACAATGTCTGAACCCTCCTTCGTCCCTCGACGAGGGATCGGAATCGTTCGATCCGACAATATTCGGCTGGATAGTTCCGATGATGGCTTCGATTTCTTCTTTAGCTCGTTCAAACACGTTGGGGGCTTTTACTTCATTTAGTGGGGTGGTTTCATCTATGTCGTCGTTTCTCCCATGAGTTTCTTTATGGTGATGGTTTGATGATTTCTCATTACCATTTTCTGGCAAACATGAACTCAAAATAAGCACAACACAATGTTCATGCCACTTTCAACTTATGTTACTCGGATTTAGATGTTAGTGTCAGATACGAGTATGTATTAGATACGAGTATAGTTCTATTTTTATAAAATTTTCAATATATTTGAAAGATTCTTGGAAAAGTAACACAATTACTTCATGAATCTTACCCTGAGCTTGGAAAGAAAGATATCTAAGAAAATATCATATAAGAAAAGGAAGTAGCAAAAGAACCTGGTTGGTCATGTTTCGTTTGTTCCTTGTCAGAATAGTCCCTGAAAATTCAATGTGATGTGAAATAAGTATACAAAAAGGCCTTCTGATTGATCCTCATACTCAATTGGTAAAATTGTAGTTTTAGCCCCTCTAGTATGCTCAAATTTGAAATTTAGTCCTTATACTTTGTCTTTGACATAATTGATCCTCTACTTTTATAATGTTTAGTTAACCCAAGTAGTCAATATCAGTTACTATTCTACTTAAAATGTTGGGTTGATTTTTTCTTAAAACTTAAAAGCACCCCTTCCTATCTTTACTTAGATTGGGGTTCGATCGAATGTTCAACGGACACCACATCCAAAAGGTTTCCCAAAAAGGTCGAGAGATCACTCGACGAGAACGTTATAAAAGTAGATGACCAAATTATGCTAAATCGAACTATAAGAACTAAATCCAGACTTCGAGCATAACGGAGAGATCAAAAACCATAATTTGACCAAATGAGAAAAATTAGAATCCAACCTTTCATGATCATGAGCGTGGGACTCTTTCTTTTGATGGATTGTTTCAACGAGAGCCTCAATTTCCTCCTTTACTCTTTCAAACACATTGGGGGCTTTCACATCATCCAGTGGGGTGTTTTCATCAATATCTTTATGCTTTCCATTAGTTTCCTTATGAATCGCGGTATGAATCACAGCTTCAATCTCTTCCTTTGCTCTTTCAAATATATTTGGTGCTTTTACATCCTCGTCTGCTAGCATTACACATAGCACCAAAATACATTTATTTGATCACTCAAAGAACCACTAATCTAATCACACGCTTTCATCCATTTAAAGGTTAAGAGCATGGAAAGCAAAGATTAACCCCATAAAATTGGTCAAGTTTAGTCCCTGCACTTTTTGAATTTTGAAATTTCAATCTTGATCCAAGCAATATACAGACAATACGACTAAATTATAGGGGCTTAAAATATCAAATCAGGGAAGAAGAATTAAATTTACAAGTTTTACATATTATAGGGACTAATAAAATAATATGATCGAAAAAGTACACCCAAAGGCAGCAAAATTTCCAACTTTTACTCAAATGTTTCCTCAGAATTGAGAACCAAATACTACTATGAATTCGGTATATCGTTTCCATTTCTTGTGATGAACTCTCATGCTCAATAAGAATTGAAATACATTTCATTTGATCACTCAAAGTGCCACTAATCTAATAGCACACATTCATCCATTCGAAGGTGAAGAACATACAAAACAAAGACTATAACGCCCATAAATTTGATCAAATTTAGTCCCTGCACTTTTCGAATTTTGAAATTTCAGTCTTGATCCAAGCAATATTAAGGGCTTAAAATATCAAATCGGAGAACATGAACTAAATATTCCACTTGTGCATATTATAGGGACTAAAAAGTACACCCAAAGACAGCAAAATTTCAAACTTTCACTCAAATGTTTCCTCAGCAGTGACAACCAAATACTACTATGAATTCGGTATACCATTTCCATTTCCAGTGATGAATTCTCATACTCAATTCGAATTGAAATACATTTCATCTCATCACTCAAAGAACCACTAATCCAATCCGAAACATTCAGCCATCGACAGGGGAAGAACATGAAAAGAAACAAAGATCGGAGATAAACTAAAGAACCCCATAAATTCACAGAATGACAACATATATTACATCCAAAGATCGCAAAACTTCAAATACTATCACGAATTCAAGATGCCCTTTCCTTTTCTTTCCCGGAATTTCTCGAAAACCAGACAAAAAGGGAATTGATGAAGAAAAGAGAGAATCATACCTGAGGAGTAGTACGATGAATTTGATTTGGTTTCCGCCATAGAACCGGTAGATTCTTAAACTGGGATTCGTCTGAATGCGATGTGAAAGTTGGGGTTTGATTCGACGTTTTGATGAGAGGAGGCGCTTGCTAAAAACCACCGATGGGAATCAGAAGTTTTCTTTCGCCTCCGCAAGACTGGAACTAAGCATAGGCTGCGTTGTTGTTGGCCAACTTGAATTTAATACGGATCATTATATCATCCACTATTCACATGTTGACAACTAAACGTTCATGGGCCAAGGATTGTTTCGAAACTAGGGTAAACTACGCATTTAGTACCTAAATTATAAGTTTTGTCCTTTTTAGTATCTACACTTTCAATTTTTTTTGAAAACATACATAAAATTTAGTTTGTGTTTCATTTTAGTACCCTCGTTAAAAATTTAACTTTACGTTTTGAAAAAAATGAAAGTTTAGGTATTAAAATGGATCAAAACTAATAGTTTAGGTATTAAACACATTAAATTTTTAACGAGTTGGTACTAAAATGAAACAAAAACTAAACGGAATGTATGTTTTAAAAAGATAAAAGTTTAGATACTAAAACAGACCAGACCAAAATTGATAGTTTATGTACTAAATGCGTAATTTACCCTTGGAACTAACGTTGTTATTGACTTATATTATAAATAAAGGTAAAGTACACAATCAGTCTATCGACTATAGGGTATTATTTTGTTGAGTTATCTGGTTATTAAAAGTTACAAATGATCCCTTGGCTATAGGGTGTTGCTTTGTTGAGTCCCTTGTCCCCGACTATTAGAATTTTCAAAATGATCATTGGACTATTCATATGTTCCAAACTCATATTTTTCATTAAAAATTGACAGTAGTGAGCTGGATGGTAACCTGTTGACTATAATAGGATAGAATATAAGTTTAGAATCTCTAACGACTATCATATCTTAATTAGTATGTTAACATCCCAATTTTATTATCAAAATTTGACATGAATATCATCCTTTTACAAAAGGGTAAATTTTAGCTTTGGTCTTTCATATTTTGCAGTTTATGCCATTTAATCCAAATTAGCATTGCAATGTTTTCACTTTCATTCATGGTACTAATTATTTCAATTTTCTCATATTTTGAATTTCGTATATTTATTTTAATATTCGATTTAGTCTACAGTAAATATCTTTTGTTTTTTTCTTAGTTTTCACTATAATATTTTAGGGTAAACTACATAAATAACCACCTAGTTATGGGTTTGATCTTGAAATGACTATCATTTTCAAATATGACCACTTAAATATTTAAATAGTTTCAATATAGCCCCTTATCGTTAGCATTCAAGGAAGTATTTACGTAGCAGTTAACAAATTTGATATAATTAGGGTGTTGGTCCTTGTAAAGTTATGTGTTCTTGGCGCCAGAACCCTTCTTTGTTTTCTTTCATTTTTGTCACTACTTGTATATGAGTTGTTTCCTTAGATTTTCATTTAATGCAATATGATCTTGATTATATTTTTAATTTACCTAATGTCTTAATTTGAGCATTAACTTCAACATCTTTTATTCTAGTCATGTATTAAACTTATAGATTAAATCCCATAGATTTTAGAATTAATCAATTTGATCATCAAGATTAACTTTAATTCTTAATTTTTAATTTAATTTAATAAATTTATTTCTCCAATCAAATTGTGCACATGTAACAATCTGATTAGAGGGTTTTTTTAATTTTAATTTAATTAATTTAATAAATTTCCAATCTAATTGAAAGTTGACACGAATAATTACACCATGATATCAATGTATAACTGTGTAATTACAATTCGTACCATCAAATATGACATAAAGAACTGAGATGTAATCACACCCTATTTGCCAAACATGTTTAAGATATATAATTATTAAGACCGAGGATTTTATATAAAAAATACGAACTTTTAAGAATTTATATTAGAAATTTAAGAGATGAAAAAATAGATATTTATAAAAAAAATTATTAAAAAATACCTAAACTATATTAGAATTTAAAATTTCATGAGATACAATTGTTCATCGATGCCTATTCGATCCATCTCTATATTCGATTCATCAGTACAAATGATGGTTATCTTAGATATAGTATTGGAATGGCTTAGGCTTGGGCTTTCGAGTTATCTTTATTGGCTTAGGTAAACCGTAAACGGTTTTGTTCTTCTTTTTAAAAAATGGTTGTCCCTTGTTCTCATATGTAATAGGGTAAGGGGAGGTAAGATAGTAGGCTGCCCCTAACACCAGGTTGAGAGCAGTTTCCGTAGAAGACCTCCGAATTATGAAATACCCTCCGTGAGACTCGATCTCACGACCTCAAGGTTAAGAACCTTGTGCTCTACCAACTGAGCTGAATAGTCATCTCAAAAACTGGTTAGAGCTTTCCTTGAATTCCTTTGTTGCCTCATAATATCCCCTGTATTCAGCATATCGTTCTCATGATAACCAGAAAGGAACATATGGATATCTGCAACCGTTATGCTATGCTTATTGGTCATGGGAGTCGAACGAAATCTGTTCGGCTAACCTTATAGTATGTCTGAAATTTGGAACTGGTTTTGCTTTATCTATTGTAATAATGCAGCTGCAAAATGGGTACAAAATAAGAAAAGACGAGTTGTTCGGAACGAAGACTCCGGCCCCGAAACGAAAAGGCATGCATCAGCCTAAGCAGTTCCAAAACACCGGTCGTATAACCTGTGATGCAGTTGAAGAAGCTGCACTAACCGCCGCCTATCTGATTGCTGAAGCAGAAAACAAGTCATTTCTTGCCGCTGAAGCAGTTACAGAGGCGGAAAGAGTCTCGAAAATGGCTGAAGATACAGATTCACTGCTACAGTTGGCCAAAGAGATTTTCAAAACATGTAATGTTGCTCCGACTGTTCATTTTTTTACTCGATTACTTATTCCGTAAACATGATTGATCCATATCCGGAAACTTAGCTGATCCTATTCTCATATCTAATGGGATAAGGGGAGGTAGAGTAGTAGGCTGCCCCAACACCAGATTGAGAGCAACTTCCATAGAAGACCTCCGTTATGAATTGCCGTCAATAAGACTCGATCCCACGACCATAAGATTAAGAGCCTTACGCTCTACCAACTGAACTAGACGAGCAAGACCATATCCGGAAACGAGTTTAAAAATTCGCCTCTTCAAGCGCCATTAAAAGGCACAGGCATAATGTCCCCATTCTTAAATATGTTGCATCTTTCATTTGTGTTTTTGCAGGCTCCCAAGGAGAAATTGTGCTCATAGCATAGGATATGATAGAAATGACCCTTCAATTAGGAAATGTCAATATTGGTTTCACTTGTTTCTTTTCGGATATAACTCGATTAATTTGTATTCGACTCGACTCGACTCGACTAGACAAACATGATGAAATGGTGACAGATAGATTGTTTGGTAAAATTAAAAGTCTCGATTGACACTCTCATGGTGATTCATGAGAAAATTTCTGATTTATTCAGAGTACTCTTATGAGAGACATTTCTAACCCTCTATATTCTCATGTAATGTATTAGTAAATTCTCCAAGCTTATAAGGCTTCTTTTTATTATAAATATATTTTAGGTATAATTGTAACACATGAAGGGTGAAAATTGAATATATTGTTATCTATTTGTTCTCAACAACCGTCGATCTTGATAAAGTAATTTTTAAAAAATGGGTAAAGTACACAAATGGTCCTCGACTATAGGGTATTACTTTATTAAGTTCTTCGACTATTAAAAGTTACAAAATGGTCCTTTGACTATAGAATGTTGTTTTGTTAAGTCTCTCTACTATTAAAAGTTACAAAATGGTCATTTGATTATTCATTATGGTCCAAACTCATCCTTTAAAAAATCGACGGTTGTTTAAGTTGGACGTTAATATGATGATTGAGATGATAGTCGTTTGAGATTCTGGGAACATATTTTATCATATCACAGATGACATGTTAACGTTCAATTCAGAACATTGTCAATTTTTTAACGTAGTCAAGTGACCATTTTATGGCTTTCAATAGTCGAAGGACTCAACAAAGTAACACTCTATAATTGAATGTCCATTTTATAACTTTTAATAGTCGAGAGATTTAATAAAATAGTACCTATAGTCGAGGGACCATTTATGTACTTTACCCTTAGAAAATTTACTTTTTAATTTTTTTTTTAAAATCTAAATTGAAATTTTGAAATCTAATAAGATTTCTTTAAACAATGGTCGGTCATGTTTATATCATAAGTTATGGTGGATTCATTTCCTCGCATAGGTGGGTCCATTTTGTGCATAAACCATTAAACCTTTTAATTGAATGGGACAGCTTTGATTACTCAATCTTTGTCCATAGTTTTGATTCATACCGCTGATTATAATTATTATATTTGGTAAAAAAAATGATATTGAATGGATTTAATAATAGTTTTAATTTTTTCTATATTTAAATTTGATAATTATTTTTTATTTAAATGGATGGAATTTAATCATTTTATTTTAATAATATTATTTGTAGATACATATTGATAATACTAAATGAATGTTGGGAGATCATAACCCATGAAAATTTTAAATTTTTATATAGTTTAATTATTTTTTATATTTTTTATTCCTTAAATTGATAATATAACTTTTTAATAGTTTGTATCCCTTATATAAAATCATATGTTCGTCTCGTTTATATACCTTGCTAATAAGATATGTTATGGTTTAATTTTGTTGCAATTGAGCCAACTCTGTACTAGCTTACTTTATTAATTAGAAAAGAAAATACAAGGGTTGAATTGTAACGAACTAAAAATAAAAGGACTAAACCAAAATTTTCAACATAAGAGATGAAACTGACCAAATAAACCTATTAAATGACAAAAATAAATATTAAGGGATATAACGCCTTTTTATTGATTTTAATGTTTGATTTCACATAACGGTAACCGTTACGTAAATGTCAAAGAAATGACGAGGATGACTAAAGAAACGGTTGTCTGTTGGGGATACATTTTTTGTTTTTCTTTGTATTTTTTATTATTGTGAGGGTAAATTATATGATTAGTATAAACTATTAGTTTTGGTCCGTTTTAGTATCTAAATTTTTAATTTTTCAAAATTATATCTAAAATTTAATTTTTGTTTCGTTTTAGTAACCGTTTAAAATTTAACGTTAAATTTTAA